CCTTATTACCTTCAGACCGAGTTTCCATCGCTGTCATTATCATCATTGATGGGCGAACAAAAACCCAACCCTAATTTAACTGAATTGCATGCAACACAGTGCTATTTCTTAGCGTTCAGATCTCAATGCCACAGTATCCTTTGGTTTGCCTGTTTGTTGGATGTTATCGCTTTTAGCGTTCACTCTGCACACTGATGATTTGACGATTCACACGGCCAAGAGTCGGGAAACGTGTGGTTCCAGAGCCACGTGCGGCTCTTTAAGGACTACCTCGTGACCTTATTTATGAGGACCACCGTCCGTCTCGTATTCACCGCGTGCATTTGCGGCTCTTGATCCGTTGAGTTGATATATATTTTTTTTACCGAATTCGACAATAAACCCGGCTCTTCTTGTTATTTGAGTTACCAACCCCTGCACACGGCCAATGAAGAGCAACGCTTCGAGACTGAGTAACCGTGCCACTCGTTTGGTCCGGCAGCTTGTGTCGGTACATTACAGTCGGTCGATCGGCAGGTAGGTCAAGTCCGTGTCGGGTGTATAGTGCGAGTACTCTCAGCACTTTCAAGGTGTCCGGGCAGCCTGGAAGAGTAGGCCAAAAATACCTTCGAGACAGGCTCTCTCGAGAGCTCCCGTTAGTAGAGGCCCTTCCATCATGAACAAGCAATGGCAGGGCTGCACCCACACCTTATACGTTAATAATAACGATAATGCATACGATGATGGTGTAACACTCTTAGACAAGACGTTTGGTCATTTTAATTACACTTTATAAGACAAATACATGGTTATATTTGACACTGACTTTAACGAATAAAAAATGTCTTTTTAGGAGTCAATGTGTTTGCTTAAATATTAGCTATTGCCAGCGCTGTGCATTGGTACGATGATGAAAAATTTAATGTGGACGCTAACACTTCGCATCGGAAACCTTCCGAGGAATTGCAAAAGGCTGGGTTTGCTGGGTAAATCAATGAACCCATCCCATGCCAGACTGCAGAGCGAGCGTCATGATGATCTCTCTGTATGAAAGCCCGAGAGCAAGCGAATGTAACTATAAACCTTGTCTGTTGGATAAGCAATTATTTTTATGGCAGCAATGGAATAAAAAAAAACAATTCAGAACTTTGATTTAAAGCTTTTGTGACTGCAGGGATTCATATTCTTGGTTCTTTCGGTAAAGTCACGTAGAAGGGAAACAATAAAATAAAAATATAAAACAATTAAATTCTCACGACGTTTCGACTGCAACACAAGCAATCATCATCAGGTGTGAAGACCACAACAAGAACATTTTTAAAAAGTGGAGGTAATTTTTAATATTTGCACCACGGAGAGAGATTTGACAGTTTGTTCAGATGAACGAGTCCATCTATGTTCAGAAAATAGGAGGGGGGAAACGAAAATAATGGATGCGGTCTGAAAGCTCCCTTAAGCGTGATCAATCAATTAAGACCCGAAATGGTTTATCAAATCCTTCCAATGATTGCTAAGCCAGAATCCATCTTCTCGGTTGAAATTGTCTCTGTGTTTGTATATGTGGATAGCCTCATGAACGAATCTCGCATGATAGCCAGATGGCTTGCAAAGAACCTCTGTCTTGGAGAAGTCAATGTCATGTGAACCTACTGAATTATAACACGGACGTCGAAAAAGATGGCAAGCTACCTTTTTGGAAGTCCTAATAAAAAAGAGACCTGATGGTTCAATGAGCCACTCTGTCTACAGGAAAGCTACCCATACGGATGCTTACCTGAAACCGGATTCCCACCACCATCCATCCCAGAAGAATTCCCTCATCAAGACTCTGCACCATAGAGCCCAATGCATATTCGACCAGGAACATATTGCCAGTGAACTCAAGCACGTAAACCAAGCTCTTAAGGCTAATGGTTATTCTGACTACACAATCCGCAAAGCTATCACTCCAACCATGAAGAAGGACCCTCTTGAGGAGCCTTTCAAAACCATCACTTTACCCTACATTGCGGGGATCACAAAATAGATCTCCAAAATCTTGAATGAACACAAGATCCAGGTCCGATTCAACACATTACATAAAATCCGTGATCTGGTTCCGTCTGTAAAAGATGTGATCCCGGACATACATTACCCTGGCGTCTACAAACTAAGTTGCCTCTGTGGTAGTAGTTACATTGGAGAAACCAAACGACATGTCTCGGACCGCATTCGTGAACACAAAGCAAACCTGAAACACGGTAGGACCAACACCTGGGCCGTGGCAGATCACTGTTATAATTCAGTAGGTTCACACGACATTGACTTCTCCAAGGCAGAGGTTCTTTGCAAGCCATCTGGCTACCATGAGAGATTCGTTCATGAGGCTATCCACATATACAAACACAGAGACAATTTCAACTGAGAAGATGGATTCTGGCTTAGCAATCATTGGACGGATTTAATGAACCATTTCGGGTCTTAATTGATTGATCACGCTTAAGGTGGCTTTCAGACTGCATCCATTATTTTTCGTCTCCCCCGTCCTCTTTTCCGAACATAGATGGACTCGTCCATCTGAACAAACTGTCAAATCGCTCTCCGTGGTGCTAACGTAAAAAAAACCCCCGCCACTTTAAAAAAAAAATATTGCTGTGGTTTTCACACCTGATGATGATTGCTTGTGTTTTAGTCGAAACGTCGTGAGAATTTTATTGTTTTATATTTTTATTATTTTATTGTTTCCCTTCTACGTGACTTTACCGAAAGAACCAAGAAAACAATTCAGAACTGTTAAGCAGTCAGCTGCTATGTTAGGGCGACGGCGAAGTGGGAATTGCGTCACACCACAAACACGACGACCTGCGGTAAAGTCTCAAGCCACCGCTAATATGAGTGGCAATTGATATCTGAACCAATTCTGGGCCCTCCTCTCTTCACCAATCCACGCTGACCAGCGTGTTGATTAAATGCCAATCCCCGATAGCATGTGGAGTTCTTTATCCAGCAGTAGAATTAAAAAGGAGTGAAAATCATTATTATCGAACCAATGTAAATGTGTAATTAGCACCCCTATCCATTAGTGCCTATATATGATTTCTGGCCTCAACTTAATGTAAAACATTCATCCTGAGCCAGTGATGTAAATTCCACATGGTGAACTTTCAGTCTCTCTTGGGGTGTGGGTTGTGTGGCGCTGCAGGAGATTCCGTGGTGCAGAATCCTGAGCAGTTCAAGTGTGCAACTCAATGGAGACGCAGCTAGTCTGTAACTTTTTTTAAAAAAATATAACTTTATTTGAAACAGGAAAAAAAAAATCAGCAGAAGCCATAGCAAGCCCGGCGCACTGGTCCAAGTCACGAGCACTCCCCGGGGTGTACTCTCGCGGATGTCAATATTCAAAACGCCGCAGCCAACCAGTGCGAGCGAGCTGGCTGTGTGGACACCCCACGTGACCGCGAGTGGTGCTGCGCTTCGTGACTCTCGGCCATGTGGAGGTTTTCGTGTGCAGATCGGGGTCATGAAGTTTGGCCACCCATGCTCTATGGGATGACCACTATTGATTTCACACCAAGTGGTACTCACTTTGTTGAATGTCGAGGGATGACGAGGGCAGGATTGGGTTGTGACCTATAAACAATTTCTATTTGACCAGGTAAGGCCCACTGAGCTCTATTTTTCAGAAGTAAACCTGGCCACGAGCGATAGCTCAGCGAAGCGGCCAATAATGTGGAATTTATAGCAGCCAAATATTATTCACGCATGTTTCTAAATGTGGAGGGAAAACACCGGAAGACCCGTAAACACATTCACGCGGCCACGGGGAGAGCATGCAAACTCCAAATATCCAGGAGTCCGACTCCGGCTCGAACCCACGACCTCTTCCATACCAGGCGAGGGAGTGAACACCTCGCCACCCTTTCGATTGAGAGTCAAGCACTCTAACGGCAGTGACATCCCGCCCGATGGTCACCCATGAGTTCATAGAAATGTAAAACCAGCTGAAGTCTTGACAGGAAAAAAAAAAACTCTAAGAATAACAATGATCAAGCTCATCGATTCACGAATGGAGACACGATCTGTGATGCGTTGATGTGAGACACGGCAAGTCGGAGTGTTGTTTTGTTCTGACATTGTCAATTTACAATGGATGAATGTATTATCCATTGACTGACAGGCATTGGTAAATGGTTGACCTCTCATTGTTTGAACACATCAATACATAGGAATGTAAAATAAAATAGCATCCAACTGTTTAGCGCAATGCTCTGCAGCTACACAGTGCAGTGGATATCAAGTGCAATATTGATCGCAAGTGAGATTGCACCATGACCCCAGAGCTTTATAGTTTAAATGCTGCAATGATTTGGTACGAAATTCAGTCCTGTCTCCTGCAAGAACCAAAACTGTCAAGTTCGATAGGAATAAAAAAAAAATCACTCTTGGATGATATTAATTTACTGACCTATACATTTGTGTATCAAAAAATTCTGCAAGTTTGCGCTGTACAATTATTGCACGACATGTTATTTTGCATGATGTTTGGCGCGCAGGTCTCGCAATCCAGAGGTCGCTGGCTCATTCTCCGGGCGAGGCAGTTGAAACATCGGTGCAAGTTTTTTTTCAACCCCCCCCCCCCCCCACTCTCCACTTATGTCCACCACAGTAAGATAGGCAGGTGCGCGTGTGGTGGGGAAAAGTGTAGGCACACCCACCACTTCCAAGACAGTCTGGCCAGCATGGATGAGTAAGGTCAAGAAATAAAATAGGGCCTTCTCTTGGACCTCCCTCCAGTGGAGGCCCTTCTGCCAGCAGTGGTATGAGCAAAAAAAAAAAACCTGCAGGGCTGCATCTTTATCTTTATGTTTCTTGAGTTTCAGCCCACAAAAAAAACACATTTGGTAGTGTACAATGGTGCCGATGTAAAATATATATGTGGGCATTCTTTTTTTTATTTTAGTCGGCTACTACAACCACCAACTTAAGTTGCCCTTTAATGGTTGTCAGTGTTTAACCTACAAGCACATGACTGCAGAGCTTACCCATAGAGAGCAGCAACTGGCCTCTTTCCACTGGTCTTGGGCCGGTTTGGTTTGGGCTCGCCCGCCATGTTAATATCTGTCAAAACGGAAATATGCGACACGGTTACAGCACTCCCACAGAAGGGCGCAGCGCTTCTGTTCAGCGAGTCAAAATGTTGGGTTGAAAAAAAAGAGACCAACAAGAAAAATCTTCTCGGCAGCAAAAAAAGCACTTGTAAAAAAAAAATCTTACAAGTTAAAAAACATGATCATAATTTATTAGCAGTTGCTAATATATATTTGAAGATGATACAATGTGTTGTTCAAAGATATTGCTTAACGATTCTTTATTGTAAACATGAACGTGTTTTGCTTATTCTGTATGTGTTAAAAGTGATGTGTGCAATTGTCCGATAAAATGTTGGTATTTTTCTAATAATATAAAAAAGATATACAAGTCCTTTCAATTAGGGTCCTGCTTGGAATGTCTGGGCAATTACTTGAAAATATGTTTTGTAAGAACATGTTTCTCTCGCTTTATGCGGGTTCGGCTTGGCGATTAGACGTATCTACGCAGATACTTTATTTCTACCAAAAAAAAAAATCGCTTGATGTGGTTCAAATTCGCTCATATGCGGCTACGCGGTCGGACGTGGGACAACATTGTGAGCGTGTGGTGCATGCACTGCTTGGCAGGCAGCTGTCCCGTGCGCTTTCGTTTTTGTGCGTCATTTTGTAAATGCGTCTCCTGGACAAAGCGAGGGAAACCTGTAAAAGCAAACTGGAGTCGGTAAAGAACTCACCCCTCCCCCATCACAACCCACACACTCAGGAGACAAAAAATAACCACACTCAAGTTCCACACCGACAGGCGATTTACTTTACGTACTGCTAGCCAGCTCACCAACCCCCTGCGAGTGGTAGACCGGTCATAAATGATATCATCGGCGTGCACCACAACAGCCAAGCCCAGCAGCAGTCATCTTCCTGGGTGTATTTTGTCGAGCATCAAACTCTTTGAAGCAGTTTGCAAGCGCTAGTAGGCGAACTTTGTAGGTTTTTTTTCACGCGTATTTTCTTGCGCGTGCATGATGTTCACGTTTAGCTCGAAGGCTCACTCGACTCTGAATGAACAGTGATGGAATAATCCGCGTTGACTTTGTGTTTCAAACTGGCATAGAATTGACCAATACAGCCATGGTTGTGACAATTTAGCATGAGTAATTCATAATACTGCGGATAAACAATGTTAATTACCAACAAAGGTAAAAATGCAACATCGTTAAACTGGCTCGTGCATAGAGGTCGGATATAGATGTATGCACTTCTGATGATCACATAGATAAAGAAAAGTTACACAAGCTAGACGCCTCATGATATGCAGCAACTAAAATCACCGTGAGGCCTCATCATTTGCATTGCAGCCATAGCAAGAGCAGCAAGCAAATTTGGAAATAGCAAAAGTGAAAATGACCATAATAAATATATAAATATTCCACAAAGTCACCCAACACTCTGATTGGCAATTCATGTGGAATCATAATACGACCGTCCATTGGATGTGTGTTAAATGATTGGAGAGGATGAAATCAACTCCCGGAAAAATTGTAGTCACAACAAACCTTCTGCCTTTGAAATGAACGTGATATTGAATGTCTGACGGGAGTAACAAAAATAATGTTCTTATGTAACCATCTTAACGGACAGCGAAACAAATTGCATTAAATGCATGAATTATTGATAGAAAACGTTTTTTTAAACTCCTACAGGAATTGAGTTGTTTTTTTTTTTACCTTGAGGCCATCGACTTTTGAGAAAGTTATTAAAATGCTATTAAAATTAACTGCAAGTTGATTAAAAAATTTGCTGGTACTGAACGAGTAATTTTACCAAGGAGTGCAATTATGATCCAGTTTTCTTAGTTTGATAACAAAAATTAGCAAGCAAAAGCTCACCATTGACACTTTAAAGATTACCAATGTGCGGCCAGTAAGAATGAATCATGTTTATATCAATGTATTGGCGAAAGTTTTTCATATCACAATAATACACAATAAGTGCTGGTGTCAAAGGTCAATTTGTCCAAAACGTTTGTTCAAGGAATGCCTTGAAAGCATTTTGCGTTCAGCATAATATGTAGATCATTGTTTTATATACAATAGTTAGAAAATAAGTATAATTATAGTGTTAGCAACAAGCATCAGTTAGTCGATCGACAGATCGTGTAGAGTGGGGTAAAGTGTGAATACTCACACCTCTTCCGAGACGTCTGGCCAGCATGGAAGAGTAGGCCAAACATCCTCTGGAGGAACTCTCTAGAGCTCCGTCTGATTATAGGTCCTGTTGCCAGCAGCAGTGTAAAGCTATGGCAGAGCCACACCTTTACCTCTTGATTTATACACTTCAAGACTTACAAACCAAGGACTCAAATTTAACGGACTTGTATTTTTTCCTCGTATCAAATTCCATCGGGTGATCTACATATATATGTCAATCTACCGTATATCAGCGGGGACCTGTACTTTAATATTCAACGCAGGCATTTTTGCTTTAGACGAAACAGAACATTCGCTACTTTAGCACAGCTGGTTGCACGCGATGAGAGGTAAACACAAATTTACATAACCGCCATAAATAAAGATTATGGCCACTTGTTTATAGTCACGTATTATTCCTGAATGGCGTTTTTTTGTAAGTACTTGATAATATTCTTCCAATGTGTCTTGAGTGTAGCAGATGGTGTTACATAGCAACAACTGGTTGCCTGTGACATCCACACAACACCTTTTGTCATAAAGTAACTTTCGGTGTAAGTGGACCCTTGTTAAAGGAAAAAAAGGTACTGACGAACGGATATAACTCCTCCAGAAGTCTTGCCAAAAGATACCTGGGTTAAAAATCCTTCACGCATATATTCCCGAGTAAAAAAATAGTTATGGGATTTTATTTCACTCCTAAAAGAGCGTTGTCACGCTTTAGCTGCTTTGGTGACATGCTTCCCTTAAATAGGGTCAGCAATGTGATTGTGGGGGATGGACGATGAGTACATGGAGACCGAGTATCTCTCGATCGTTACATGTGCGCGTGTTAGTGTCACACTCGGAAAAATGCTGAAAAATAACGGAAAAATAGCGAGCCATCGTTTTTTTTTACAATTAATTGCCGACATAAAAAATTGTAAAAAAAAACCACCCTAATTGACACAGAATAGCAAAAGTTATGGATGCATACATTATGCATTACAATTACCATATCAACATTTCACGTTAGTTAATATTTAATGAAAAATTCACCATTAAAGATAAAGGTGTGGTGTAAATCAGCCATGAAATGTACTTGGCCTATCAGCAAAATGCTAATTTCCTTGCATTCGATCTGGTCAGCATTGCCTAAATTCCTACATCTATTATGAATTAATTTGTATATATGTATTTGAGTTCCACCATCCCCCATTCAGTCATAAATGAGCTTACTCTATTTATGGCAGTAAGCCGGTCTCAGTAGAACTCATTTGTGTCAGTGATTCAGCTGCCTAGATGACTGCAGAATGTGGGGTGCATGAGACCAGGAGGATTTTAAAGGGTGTGCATCTTATTCATCTTGTGGGGCTTTTGCAAACCCATGCCACTGAGCAACGGTATTACCGCAACACTCTGAATGGTTGCACTTTGGCAAGCCATTTAATTCCAGAAATCCAGTGAAAATTGAACATTAGCACTCAATGGCATTATGGCTGTCAATGCAAAACACACAACATAGCCTCAAGTGTGGATAACAAACTAGTATGGGTTGGATAAAATGAAAAAAACGAAAGAATGCCTTCTCTGAGTGACATTGTAATATTGACAAAGATGCCATTGGAGAGAATGGGATTTTTAGTCCACAGAGACAAAGTTGCAGTGCAGTCTCCGTTAGTCATCATCACGTCCGTGTTTATTATGCATGCATCAACAATGTATGCCATCAATCCACGGAGGGTTTTCGTGCGGACACTCTGTAATTACTATGAGCTCACGAACGACCTTTATCTGTGATAGGGCACCACATAAAACACGGCTAGAGTAAATGCAGGTCGTTCACAATCTTTATATCTGGACTATGAGATTGTTTTACTCCCACATTCCAAACACCGATTGAATTCTAATAATGGTACTCAACATCATCCTCAACAGCCATGATCAATCTACTGCTGGATGAAGGCCTCTGCATTTCATCGCCACCCTCCGCTCCACCCCTCCCCCTTTTGTGCTGTGATGCCACAATCCACCTTGCTCCTCCATCACGAGGCAATTTAATCGCTCCATCTATGTGGTGGGCATCCTCTCAGCCATTCCATCACCAGCCTCGTCCACCGGACACATTGCTAGAATTAACAATGTGTCCTCTTCTTAACGGTCAGTTTGCTAACTGGTAAATATTTTAAAATATTTTGGAGATTATGTTTTTTAAGAATATAAAATGGTTTATTTTACTGTTAATGACTTCACAAGGGGTTACGACTGTACGCTATTGTACAAAGATTCTGCAATCATACAATATTATAATTTGACACTTTGACAATAAGAATGGGCATTTATCTTTCATATTTAATGACGCGTTTTTTGTATAAGAAAATCAGTTTTGTCCGACACACTCATCATGCGCTGTTGTAAGCCCTACATACAGCGGATAGGAGAACAACGTGTGCATGTGCACTGATGGACAAAATTATGGAAGACGAACCCTCTGCTGGCACCAATTATGCTAACGCCCACTTTTTGTAAATATCCTATATCCAAGCTATAATGCGCACATGCACACATACATTAGAAACAAATAGTGCATTCGCAGCAGTGGCCTAAATTGGTGAAAACAGAGCATGGCCTCATAATATACAGGGCTTAATGGTATACAGTGACGTTCAGAAATGGCTCTGTTTGCTTGGAGGACAATCTATCAGCATCGGCATAAAAATCTTTATATATACCCGAAGATGAATATCATTACATTTTCCAAGATTATGTGTCACAGCAATTGTAAATGGATGCCACAGAATTTGAGTGAAAATACCAGATGATATCTTAACACATCAAGCCTCATTAGTCTCAAGTAATGCCT